CTTGTGCCCAATAATGCATAATTTCATTTGATAAACACGTTTAGATTGAATGGTAGTTTATAATCAGTCACAAGAACGTCGAATCTGAATCAATTGAAAAAAACACGGGGGGTGCTTAACTTTTTTCCAGGTGTATATATATTATTATATAAGAATTCCACATCTTGTTCAATGTAATGTCCTTTATAAGGTACACCAGGTTTCAACAAACTGATTCTAATGATCATATTTTAGATAATTCAAAACCAATGTCATTTTTAAGGGACAAATCTCGATGGCTAGTTCTCGCAAGTTTTGTAAAAAAAAAGAAAAAAAAGGAGGGGATGGACAAACTTGCATAGTGCTCTGTATAATATGAAGAACTCTAAACCATGATTTTTAGTTAGTTATAAAAAAGTCTTGTTGATATGAAAATCACAAAATATATGTCTGTTTTCTTAGTTTGCATAAATTTGAGTTTTCTATATGTATAGAAACTTGTGTAGTAAAGTACAGAGTAAAAAATAGGAAGTTACTCTATAATCACTAATAATGCAAAAAGAATACTTTTTTAGTTAAGAATAAAAAAAATATTAAATAAAATACAGTATGTATTGTTTTAGATGAATTTTCTACATATTTAATTGTTACTTTATTTTTATAAATTTCATGCATTTTTAAAGGACTGCATGAAGATAGAATACAAAATATCTTTATTGACTTTAATTTCTCTTTAGTTTTCTACAAGAGTAAGAAGGAGCATGCAAGTACATTGTTTAAACCTATTTCATCTTCAATTATGCACCCTTAAAGAGATTAGCAAATTAAAAAGAAAATATTTATGCAGTAAAATTAGTAAAAAATAATGACAGTCTCAAAATAAGGAAAATTAGGAAAACTGTCTCTGGGTTATATGAGAAGATTTTTTATTATTTTTATTTGCAGTTCCTTGCTTCCTTGTTCATCAGTCATAGTTCTCAGGAATTAGAAATTGATATACGAGTTAAAAAAAACAACATTGATAGCCACATGCTTTTCAAATAGTTATTGTCATTTCTACATACAGTTTCAAGAGTTTTTTAGTTTTATGTTTAATTTGTTTTTCTTTTGATAAAAATTATAATTCCTTTATTGTAACTGATTTATTCTATTTCTCTTATTTCAACTTAAATGTTTTAAAAGTGAAAAATAAAATGTGCTGCATAATGTATTTAACATGCCACATGAAATGTTTATCATATTATTGTGTAATATATTTTGTGACTTTGATTGTAGCTCTACTGTGTAATAAAACAACCTTGTACATAAACTACAAAATATTAATTCCAATTTTATGTATGTGTATTTCATAAATTATCCCAATAGCCTTTTACAATGTGCATTGCACCAAATAAAATTTTGTATAGTACATCTATATTTAAGAACTGTTATCTTAAATTAAGGTTTTAGTAAAATATTTTATTAAATTGAATAGATCATTAACATTTCTTAGGGTAACAAAAAGAATCATTCTTTGAAAATATCTCTGTTTTAATTTTATTTTTTAAAACAACAACTTCTCTTCACCAAAGGTTTGAAATATTAATCATATTATCTTAACTTCTAGATCATCGCTCATTTCCTATATTAAACATTCCAAACAACTCTGGCATGAAGCATTCAGAGTCCACCACTGAGTTCTGTCCACTAGGTGAAAACAAAGAAGTAGAGTATTACTTTGCATCTGATGCTAGGTTTGTTTGAATCACCATGTTACATTACTTAAAACAATTAATACAAAAATAAAACCTAATCTATTGTTTGATTTCCCACTTGTCACCAAGTTATACTGATTTCAAGGAATTTCGTTGCTTATCAGTATCTTTGGACAAGGGAAAATTGAAAGAACAAAATTAAGCTTCATGTAGTGGTGGAGCATATAGTTTTTATTTTTAGTTATGACATTGTTTATCATTTATGTATATTTCTTTGTATCTTTTAGTAAATTATATTTTAATTTTCCTGGTGTGCTAACACATCTGCCTTCTAGTGAATATTAAATATTAGGAGTAATTTGCATATTAACACTCCAACACCAAGTGATCTAACTACTAAGTTCACATATGACTATATAAAACAAATGCTAATTTATTGGTCATGTGTTATGTAATCTTGTGGTCTGGCAAGGGAATAAAAAGTTATGATCTCCGAGAGGAGTTAGGCTGTCAAGAGCTGTGAAACTGTGATACATAAAATATTTGACTTTTAAAAGAAATTAGTGAAAATACTTGCTTGATCTTTGTTTGTGATTAAATATTATTTTTTGGAGAAGTATTCAATATTGTTATCTTGAATTATGTTCCAATTAGGTTTTTTATTTTTCTTCTTATTTTTCTAATGTATTAATATAGTAATTACTGCTATTATTATTTTATGTGAGTTAATATTAACTATGTTTTTTTTTATATTTGTATTTGTTTGAAAGTCTTATCAGTGCTTGTTGATGTAAAACTTGTGTTAATTTATTGTACCTTGTAAGTAATATGGTTGATTGATAAGTTACACTGACTTGTTATTTGATACATTACAATACGTGTGGTGTTTATAGCTGTCTTTCATTCCCCGTAGTGAACCTATGTTTATATATGATTTGAAGAATATGTAGCACTGATTTTACTAATTTATTGTTTTCAATCATTCAGCAGCAAAGCTGTTTATACTACTAAAAGGAAATATGAAGTCCAATAAATATATATATGTATGAGTGTGTGTGTGTGTGTATAACTTGGTTTACCACTTGTCACTCAGTTATAAGTTATATATATATATATATGTGTGTGTGTGTGTGTGTGTGTGTGTGTGTATAACTTGGTTTACCACTTGTCACTCAGTTATATATATATGTGTGTGTGTATAACTTGGTTTACCACTTCTCATTCAGTTATAACAGTTTTGGGGAATTACACCCTTTATCAAGAATCATCAAAACATCATACATAAAATAATATAATTTTTTGGAAGTTTTGAAATGGGAAGGTGCATTTATACTTGATGACATATAATATTTGTGAGATTTCAGAACAAAATAATTTCCTGAACAACTCTCCAGCCATTATGACTGTTGAAACAAATAAAAATTAAATAATTTTTTTTAAAATCTGTTTTTGTCTCATGAACAATTTTGTGATGACTAATAATAATAATAAAAAAATATGGCATAGGAGGCAGACCATGAATCTGGTGACTAAATGTAGCTCTTGTTAACCATGAACAAAATCTGCATGTAAACCAAGGTAAAGAAGATTTCACCTAACTTTGTTGCATGTTTTGTCTGGTATGGTTATAACATGTTATATTGTTGCTTTGACTTTATCAGTCTCATTTTTTTCAATTTTCCTGATTATTTTATGTGTAAATACACTTTTGGTTTAAAGTTTCTACTACTTTTTATTAGGTTAACGAATGAAACTGGGAATGTAAAAATGTTGGTTATTGCTTACTGCTCTTTTGGTATGTAAGAAAACAAGATGTCAGTTACATTTGACAAAATAAACAAGTGATTTTTTTTTATATTTTTATATGCACACATTTAGATTCAGCTGTGCCTCCTACATTGTACCACCTAATTCAGAAGCTTGTATACCTGATTACTGGAATATAATTGACAAGAAGTTTTTTTTTTACTGTAAAATAAACTAACAGATTTTCAGCCTCAGTGATAAACACTTAGTATATGAAAAAAAAGAATTAAACTGAAAGAGAATTAATTAGTTTGAAGATCACTGATTTTGAGATCAAGGTTCTTTCCATAAAGGTCAACAGAACTTAAATTGGTTTCCTTCTTTTTAACTCTAAACTGGTCCTCTATACCGAAGAGAACTACACAATTTAAAATCAAATGGTTAAAATGTTAGTTTGTAGGAAGGTTGTTTTGTAAAAAAGTTGTAGAAATATTTTCCAAGAGGCACTTGAGTGTGTTTAATATACTGATTTTTTTTTATCTTTACAGAAAAATAATATAATTTGGTGCTGTATGCTGTGCAAATAACCTCTGACAGTTTCAAGTGCTTTTAATTTTGTTTGTAGAAAAAAGTGTCTGTAGTTGTAATAAACATTCAGGTTCTCCATTGACCTATATTACAAGGATGATGAGTGTGTGATAGTGAAAGTAACTTAGCCCTAAACTAGTTTATTTTCAATTCCATTGTCATATGTAACCTCTTCTCACTTATAGCTTTCCTGATTCAGTGCTGCCTTCTATATGCAAACTTTTTTCTTGCTCACCACTAGCCTGAGACTCCCGCCTAAAACCATGTGTTTTCATGTGATACTTTTGCATTATTGCATACAAATGAGTAGTTACAACCATCCTAGGACAGCTGGCTCCCTCTATACTGATTGCTGAATCATCATTTTGAGATTAGGTAAGAAAGGTTTCACTAGAAGTGGGGAGGACTGGTGAGAAGTGTGAGTGGAGGTATCTATCCGAAATACATTTTCAGTGTTGGAAAATGTTAATTTCTGGTACAGTACGTAACCTCTGCTTACATATTGTGAGAATCCCCGTTGAAGGTGGAGGAACTGGTGCAAAATATATCTAGATGAGCCCCCTTCAGGAAGTGCCTAAAGGGAGTCCATAGAATGTGACACCCTATATCAGCAGTTCCCAACCTTTTCATCACCAAGGACCTCTTTTTATTATTATGTTTTCCCCACAGACCCCATGTTTTTTGAAAGATTCCATCTACCCAACAAACTGTTTTTCTTACTAATAATTAATTTGTTTTTCCATTTTTTGCTATCAAATAAGACATATATAACTGAGTGTGCAATTAAAAGAACAGCAGAATTAAAAAATTTACTTGTTTAATGAGATGGTATTATCTTCATGGACCCCTAGGGGTCCAGGGACCACAGGATGGGAATCACTACTTATACCATAGAACAGCATAGGGGCACACCTGTGGGAGACCCTACCTTGACTGTACCAGGGTGCACTCTTTGTCTGTAAAGGAGGGACATATTGCTAAGTTGGGCAAAGAATACAAGCACAGTCCAGAATTTGCACCAGGCCCACAGAAGTGCTATTTGTGTAGTGTGGCTAGGGCACATATGATCATACTAGGCAGCATCAGGAATTTGTCATTTGGTCTGTGGTAGGAGGAGGGTCTCTACCATCTTATCTCAAGCCCAGTGAAGCAGAACAGGAAAGTAACATTTACCCTGTAAACTGAATGAGGGCTTATGTTGGCTGGTTCTGTGCCAATCCAACAGCAGACTACCCAGGAACACTACATCCAGGCAGTGGTAAGTTGGGAGAAAGCCAGCTGGAGAGGTGAACTTTACTACACAGACAGAACACCACTGCCTTACTCTCTAGTAAGTGGAATTAGTGACACTCTGGAGGAATTCCCCATGCCCCACCACCCCAGTGGCTAGGAACTGGGGAGTGTCAAGGATTTCTGTGCACCTGTGAAGGGTTGTCACATGCCAGCCTGAACAATCTACTCCAACAGGCGATGGAGATGAGCAGTCAAAGAGAGAGTGTAAGGTGCTGGATTGGATGTGACAAGGACACCTGGAAGCACTGATGAGCATCCCCCATCCAAAGAAGGATATGCTAAATGGATGAGTTGATAAAGCAATCTAGTAAGGATAATGGGAGAAAGCTTGTAGGTGGAAGAGGGATTCCAAGGAATGAAGAGAAGAGAATGGGAACCACAAAAGGGAGCAGTGTTGGCCAAATAGCCACAGACTGTATTGACGGAACAGAGTAGGCAATCAGGATCAGAGCGAGAGTAAAGATGAGAAATATATGCGAGAGATATATGAGTGAATGTGCTGCCACCCTCACATGGCGCAGACATTTTGGGGAGAAAAGCACAATCAGGATAGAGAAGGATATAGGAGTGATGGAAAAGAATGTGTGAAGAATCAATGCATATATGTCAGAATGTTGATGACCACAGATGAAAAGGAGGAGGAAATAAGTTTTAAAGGAGACATGTTATAAGGAACAAGAAATCAAAAATTTCAAATGGAGGATGTGGAGAAGAACATTCAGGTTCTCCCAGTTGAGAAGAACAGAAGGACAGGGAGGTCAAAGGTGGTGAAAGGAATGGAAGAGCATAGTGCAGACTGGGGAGGGAAAACTTGATAGTAATGGGAAAACTGGAATATATTAGAGAGAGCCACCAGGTAACCAGTGATGAACAATACTGATAAACCCTGGTCAAAAAGCCACATGAAGAATTTAAAGAAATGGAAAATAAAAGGATCTCTCATATGGGACATTACTTCTTGGGTCCTTCTTGTGACACCCTATTGGCCAGCTGAAGCATGGTTTCCTCTATTGAGCCTTCTCCAGTCCTCTCCTCCTCTTCCTCTGTCCCATTCTCTTCATCTTCAACCTTGTTCCTCCCTCTTCCATCCAGCCATGTCATCACTCAGACTTCATGCATAGGATTTGCCTGGTCCCTTGCAATACATTCTGGATTATCTTCGCATGTAGCCTTCTTTCTTTCTCATTCTATTTGTCCATCCTCCCCCTCTGTCTATCAGCAGAAATGGTATATCTTTCACAGTTGGTCACTGCATCATTCTTTCTCCCCTTTTCCAAGAACACAAAGGAAGAGATGAATAGGGGGTAAACTTAGAAAAGAGGTTGGACCAATCCTTAGTGAATGCATTCACAGTCAGACCTGATAGATAATGAACAGGGGACCTAGAAGGGGGAAAACTTGGATGAGAGGGGTGCCCAGACAAGAGCGAAGTCACAGGAAATGTGAGGGTTTAGAGACTACTCTGTGGAAGAACGTGTTGGGCCCTGAGAGATATTCTGTGACAAGATTCAGGGCACCTGGAACATGACAAGTTACCAATCAAATTTGCAGAGAATGTCCCCTTTCTTGCAATGGATATAGGAAACCACAGTTGAGTTGTTCATATGAATTATAACTAAAAGGCCATGTACAACCATAAGAAAATGACAGAAAGCCTGATGAACTGCCAAAGATCAATACGAAGGGTCGATTCATCTGTGGATCATCAACCTCAAATTGCCAGAGAGTTGAAACAAGTGCCCCACCTTTTCAGGGAAGCTTCTGTAAAAAGATGGAGATCTGAATGAGAAGGGGGAAGAGTAACACCGTTCATGGTATTGGTTCTACTGTGCTACCAGGTGAAATTGGTAAGCAAGGAAAGATAATAATGAATAAGGGAGGACAAGGACTCCCAAGAGAGGTTTCATTTATCATGCAGAGTCCATTGCAAACAGTGGATGTGAGCACACCCTAAGGGAATAAGGTATTCCATGGAAGCCCAAATCCACTAAAGAAAGGGAACTTCCCACACAGGGACAGAAAGAGAGAATAGAGAAGTGGAAATCAATTGCTCCATGTCTCTCAAATGAAGTGGAGAAGGCTGGGCCTTGCTGAGATGGGAATTGAAGAACACACTGACTCCCATCATTTTATATAACTTGATTACTCACCTACCAAAATAATGTAATTGCCACCATAAACTGACTTCTATGGAAAATCAACTTTTCTCACCCTCTGGTAGTCATTTGCTCCAGGATTGGTTGGTTAGTAAAGCCAGAGAAGTTCATCTCACACCCACTCCACATCAGGTTCAGTTGGGTGGTATGCAAATTTCTTGAAATGATTTAGTACCAATTCTGTAAATAAAGAATATTTCATTTCCCAATGTGAAGTATTCAATGGTCACCTGAAAAATATGTTAGAAAGCTTTGGGTCAAACCAACTTAGAATCCATAATGGTGTAATGTTCATTGTTATATTCAGCATTATTTAAAGATAAAATAAGATGGCAAAGTTGAAATGTTTTTGGAATTCAGATGGATCGAATTGATTTAGAGCTACTTTCAGAATTTTAAGTCCTTCATTGCATGTAGTACATTACTACAGCATATGGAAGAAACATCTGTAGGGCACAGAAGACCATTGGGAAGTAATGGTCCATTGTTATTGATTTTCTTAATGATTATAAGATTATATTGTGTAGTGGTCAACATAAGCATTTAGCTTCTAGGTTACCATGTTTGTGTTAGAACTGTTACCATGTGCTGAAATATGTTATTAATAGTTTGATTTTCTTGGATGAGGAGTACAAGCTTGTCAGTCATGATTTTAGTAAACCATATTGTAGGGTTCTAAATGTTGGTTTCTATCCAAATGGTGCTATTAGGTTGGTGGTTAAGTTTAGTGATGTAGTCTTCAGATTTAATTTCCTTTTTTTTTTTAATAATTGCGATAGCTTTGAAAACTATTTTTCTTCAGTTCTGTAATCAGACACAAAAACTTATTTTTTTTTATATGCTGGAACTAAGAATACTGTTTTTTTTTTTTTATAGAAATTATCTGACATTAAATGTTTTTTGTATTTTAGTGCTGTAATTGAGCATACAAACCGTGTGATTTTCTTGGAGGATAATGATGTGGCAGCAGTGTCTGATGGCCGTAAGTTAATTATTTATTTTTTTAACAAGTTCTCATGTCAGTATTGTATTTGACTCACTCATCACTAAAGCTCTACAGTAAACCTAAGGCTTGGTTACAGTTTACTTGTTAATAAATAAAAAATATGATTTTTTTTAGAACTTGTATATTTTTTTTTCCTTTAAAAAATAGTGTAAGGAAAAAGAAAATTTAGAAATGAAAGGAAATTATTCTGAGTTTAAAGTGTTATGTGTTTATACAATAATAAGGAGTTATAAATAATGAAAGAACTTGTAAAATATCAGTGTTATTAAGATGTTTTGAAAGGGTTTCATTCAATTCAAATTATTGTTGACAGCGTCACAGATTTTTAGCTTAACTCCTTAAACCCGTGCGGATGCTGCCAGCATCCAGCCGAAAATTCTGATTTACCCATCAGACAGTGACAGCATTCAATAACATTTATGTCTCTGGCAGAAAACTAATCCAAACCATGTTATTATCCACCTTTTATAAATAGGTCAGAAGTTCGGTGAAACATGTCATTTGTTTTAAAACAAATTTCAGATCAACAAACTGTGTTTGAGACTAATTTTGTTCAGTGTTTTCTTGTGAAGTCTAACAGTTTTTTTACATCAGTTGTAAAGCAAAGATGGCAAGTGGAAAGAGACCACCAAAACGTTTTATTGCTGAGCAAGCAATGAGCCTGTTCAATCAGTTAGATGAAGGATGGAGTGATGATGATAGTGATTCTGATCTTGAATTTGACTTTGGAAAAAACTAGTGATGAAAGTGATCCAGAACAGTCATCGATACCCAGTTCCAGTGCTTCTCAATCAGCTGATCAGAGGGAACATTGCTCCAACCAGGACCTAGTGGTACAAAGAGGCAACAAAGCGAGCCCCAACTAGACCTGATCCACTTTCTAGATCTACGTCTACTACTAGAACCAGAGATAATGATTGGTCTGTGGTAGATCTGCAATATAGGTCAGCCACAAGTAAAGGCTTTGAATTTTTGCCGAAGAACAGGCATTATCCTGGTGTATGTACTGACATCAAAGATAACTCTTACTCCCCTCGAATGTTTCAGAGCTCTATTTACAGCAGTTGTAAGTAACACTCTCACCACTGCTATCAAGAAGTATGCCGAAGCACAAGTTACAAAGAAAATGCTTATCGAGGTATTTGAACCGGACTCCCTTTACCCACTATGAGCTGCTGACATTTCTTGCAATGACAACATCAATGAGCATTGACAAATGAACTAGCATTCAAGACTACTTTGCCCACCCACCAGTCTCTCTACACTCCCTTCTATCACTGAATGTTCAACAGGGAGAGGTTTGAGGTTATTTACTAAACACTGCTTCATGTGGGTGTCCCTGATGCTGAAGGGAAAAACAAATTTACGAAAACTGAAATTTTATTAGAACACCATAAAAATAATTCTGGCAGAATACACAAAAAATTATGCGTTTCAAGAAACTTATTTGTAATTCTAGGCTTCTGAAGGCTACCTGTGCAAAATGAGTAATTTTGAAAAAAAAAAGTAATTTTGTTTGAACAATTCCTCTTTTTTTTTTTTCAAGTTGAAGAAGGTTGTTGTGTGTTTGATGGTATTTTTTTTAATATTGTTAGGCTTGACCATTCATAGACTGAAACGTGCAATTGATGATACAACTGGAAGAGAGATTATTACTCTGAAGATGGAAATCCAGCAGATTATGAAGGGTAATAACAATTTTTTATTTTAATGATGCACATAGAACTTTCAATCTTTGCAAAAATTTTTTGGTTTATTGTTAAAGACAAAGCTACACAATGGACTATCTGTGTTCTGCCCACATAGGGTATTGAAGTGAGGAAGGCCCTCAGATTTACCACTGAGCTGCCATGGGGCTTTGGCAAAAATTAAATTCCAACTGTTAATTTTCAATTTCTTTAACGATTAATTACATAATATTGTAAATAATTTGTTTGAGAAGTTAGTTTTTGAAAAGGAATATCAACTATAAAAGTTCAAGATTCTTGAATAGGTTTATGTATAATTATTGTGAGATACTCTATGTAATCATCCAATTATACTGTGATTGGCTATTTAAAGTACAGTATGAGATCACATGCATTTTGTCTGATCTTGATGCTTTTCCAGGTTAAGAATCAGTTTTATTAACAGTGTATCTTTGCACTACATAGCTAAAATCAAGTGTGAAGAGTGAATATGGATCTCATTAAGATATTTCATAAATAGTGCTGTTAGCTTATAATGATAATAGTGCCTTTTGTTTTAAAGATATCTATTTGTTATATGTGGAAAGTTTACTTGTATATAGATACATATTTCTTTTTTTGAAAGAACGGTAATTAGTTTTTTATTTATTTCTTAATTCTTTTATTCACTATCTCTCTCACTAAACAGGGTGGCCATAGATGTGGAAATGTTGAAAAATTTTGAAAAAAGGGTTCAGAAAGTTATAGAATAATCTTAAAACCTGGAAATATATATATGCAAACCATACTGTCTAACCATGTCAGTTCTTCACTTATTTTAGCATAATCTTGGTCAGTCACTGTTATTTTATTTGGTGATGATTTTATGTGTGTATATATAATTATGTAATTCATTGTATTTTGGTAAGATTTTATTATCTGTCATCAAGTTATAAAACATCCTTGTTTCACGATCTTTTCCTGTACTATGTCAGCTTGAAGCAAGTATGTTCTAAGGTTTTTATTATTTTTTATAACCAGATTACAAACTATTGTTAACTAAATAATTTTAAAATGATACTTGTGTAAAACATCTATTTACAATTAAAAATAATACAATGTTAAAATCTTGCACAATAAATAATTATTAAAAACAGGGACTTGCCCTAAAAGACTACATATGTTACGGTGTCCTTGTTTTTAATAATTATTTCTTGAGTAAGAATTTAAATGTTGTATTACTTTTAATTCTAAATATATTGTTAAATAGGTAGAATTATGAGGATTATTTGAAATATCAATCTGTTGTATACTCGTGTGTGGCAGTGTATAAAATAAGGAAGTTTGCCTGTAAGGTCAAGGGAAAATATTTTGGAAATAATGTGGTCACTCTTTTAAATAAATAAGACTTTTGTATTTATAGTGTATTGGTTATGTTTGCCTTACCTGCTGAAAGAATTTTTTTTGCCTAAATTTTAGGTAACTACAGTTCCTTTATGCAGAAAGAGATTTTTGAGCAGCCTGATTCAGTGATCAATACCATGCGAGGAAGAGTGAACTTTGAACACGAGACTCTTATTCTTGGTGGTATCAAGGATTATATTCCTGAGATTAAGCGTTGCCGTCGTCTTCTGCTGATTGGTTGTGGAACCAGTTACCATAGTGCAATTGCAGTAAGTTTCTGTTCTCTTAAATCATACTAACTGTTTTGTTTCCAGCAAGAAAGTAAAATCAAATTAGTTTTAAAATACGTTAGAGATTCTAATAAGAAAAAAACCTCATTTGTATTTTTTTTTTTTAAGGTAAAGGGGTATTTTATATATACATTAATGTCTGGTCAGAGCAAGCTATGTGCTTAAAGTAAAACCGAAAATCAACCTGGAAATCATTATAGCTAAATATTATACTTTTCTTCTGTAGATAATTTTCTTAAATTTAATGCAACAAATTAGGTAACCTAAAGTTAAATTCTATGCTTATACTTGGTATGTTTCTACAGTATACATTATGCTATTTACTTTTCTCTATCTGTTATATTGAAACCTGATTTTTAGTGTGAAAAGCCCTCAGACTTACCACTGACCACTGCCATGAGACTTTGGCAAAAATTAAGTGATTGAGATTTCCAGAGTATTTGGTAAAAGTTCCTGCCTTAATTGGTTAAACCAGTATTTTTCTATATCAGTCTAGATATGTTACCCTCCGTCATCATCATCATCACTTGTGATAATTTTTAGGGCCATTAATTAATCTCTTACAATTATGCATAACATAAACACACACCTTCAACTTTAATATAAGAAGGCTCCAGCACATGCTTATCTTGAAGGTTTTACTTCGTTAACCTCTCAGTTTCTGTTTCTAAAGATACTCTCACACCATAAATTCTAGAACACTAACTTACAAAGAGTTTATAAAAATACAGTGGAAATGGTGTGATTCCTAGAAATTAGTTCTTTTATTAATATATACTTTTTAATTCGTTTTGTACTAAATAGTTTAACAACAGAAATATGTCAGTGAGGCATTAATTGTTCATCACAGCCATAAATGTGTGTTTGGTTTTTATATTTTGTTACTTATATTTGATTTGTTTAGTGTTTCAGCAAATTCTAATTTTATGTGGAATTATTCTTTTTGGGCTTGGAAGATTTTAGTAAGTCAAGCACTGTAACCACATCAGAAACCAAATGCCTCCAATTTATTTGTTCTCTGCTTTATCATTTTCATTGCTTAATCTCGAGTTTAGGCCCGGCATGGCCAGGTGGTTAGGGCGCTCAACTTGTAATCTAAGGGTCACGGGTTCGAATCCCCGTCACACCAAACATGCCATCCTCCGCCTTTGCCTGGTCCCAAGTCCAGGATGAGAAAGGGGGAGGGTTGGGCACGGGGCTAGCAACTCCACCCCATAAAAACCAACCTGCTACAAGTAACTGCAACAACACCTCCCGTTGGCGAGGTGTTGTTGCAGCCCTATGGTCCACTGGGAGTTTACAGGAATAAAAAAAAAAAAAAATCTCATAATTCTAAGTCATTTATTTTCTCTTGTAGACACGTCAAATACTGGAAGAACTCACTGAACTTCCAGTTATGGTTGAACTGGCGAGTGATTTTCTGGATCGTAACACTCCAATTTTTCGAGACGATGTGTGCTTCTTTATTTCCCAATCAGGTAAACTCTTGTCTGATATCTGACTAAGCGATACTTTCATATTAACAAGAAAAGCTGTATTTATATAACTCTTTACTGTGTTACAGTATTACCCGCTACCATTTTTAAGGAGGCTTATACCATATTTTTTTATTGCAAATGTCATTCATGTGTTGTATCCTGCTTAGCTACATCATGAACGTTGTCAAAAATAGTGGTAAAAGTTATTTGTTTCTAACTCTTTTATAATAATTTCTGACCCTTATAGTTACACTTTAAAGTTTTAAGACATCAAATTTATTCAGTTTTATTTGAGATTTTACATTTTGTTTAGTGTTATTTTGAGAGTTTTTTTTTTAAGATATAAAGCCACTTTCTGTTAAATATTAATTACTTTATAAATATCTGTACTTCAGACTCCACATTCACTTGTTTTTCTTTAAGTTTATTTACGTAGATTTCTGTTTCACTCTCTATAGCAACTTATGTATTCAAGGTTGCTTATTCTGTTGAGATTTATGTTTTGACCTTTACAATTGGTTACTTGTTTAAAGTTTGTGAATAAAAATAAATATATTTTTTCCTTCTACAGCCAGTCAGATGAATCTGTTCTTTTTATTCTAATATTAAATGAATCCATCAAACTTTATGGTATTGAGTATTAAATTTTAACTTTCATAAAGAAAAGACTGAAAACTCCTAAGTTATCACAGAAAGAACTCTGTTAATAAAATTAATTAAGTGATTATTTAATCTTATTAACTAATGCTACAGAGAACTGTAATTTGCATTATGGTAACCAATCTAATAAGATGGGTTATTGTATAAAAACTTGCTGCTAACATTCTCATTAATATTTCTATTTTCGTGTTTTTCCTACTGCAATTTTTACTTCATTATTGTCATTTCAGGAGAAACTGCTGATACTCTTATGGCATTAAGGTACTGCAAGAATGGTGGAGCTCTGATTGTTGGTGTGACAAACACTGTTGGCAGCAGTATTTGTCGAGAGAGCCATTGTGGTGTGCATATCAATGCTGGTCCTGAGATTGGTGTGGCTAGTACGAAGGTATATTTTATTAGCTTTTATTAAGAAGTTTATAACAAAATAACATGTACAAGGAAAACTTTATAGAAACTTTTTTCTTCAGAATTTGGGTTTTAGTAATATTTTATAATGTCTGAGATGGATTTTTTGTTGTTGTTATTTAAATAAGGAATAAATCCATACACATTTCTGGTGGTCGTTGTGTTAACTTTCAGCTGTTGGTGAAAATAATTCTGGAAGCCCTGAAAGTCTGTACTAATAAGACTGATTAAAGTTATTGAATTTTATATTTTATTGTAGTTATTTTTCTCTTTTCACAGTAAAATATTTGTTTGCTTTGAGTAAATGTTAGGTAAGCTCATTAAATGTATCCATAAAGTTATAATTTATGAGTTCAGAGGGGTAAAATGGAGAATACTTATTAACACATAATTTATTTCCCTGAAAAGTGGCCTAAGGCCACTTTGAGGTATCACCTGTTTTAACCAATCACACCACTGTACAGTAGTTTATTGTCCGTTAGTCAATCAATAGACACTAAAATGACGTCACGTAAGGGATGCTTAATGTTGCAATTTGTACTGTTGTGATGTCAATAAAACGTGTGTATGCCATGAATCATGTTGCAATTTGTACTGTTGTGATGTCAATAAAACGTGTGTATGCCATGAATCATGAGAAGAATTATGCACTGTATAGGCTACAACACAGCATGACATATGAACATCCAAAGCAAGGAGTAAAAATATTTGGTTTTATTTACTCTTGAAACAACACTTTTGGGGACCCTGCAGATATATATATATTAGTACATGTAAATTAGTATATTTTCAATATATGGTTTCATTAACGTTATTTTTGAAATGTTAAAACTTAATATCAGTTGTCTAAAAAAGGGGGGTGAGTATGAAGCTAAAATGTTTTCAGTATGTGAATTGGAGTCTTCTTTTAATTCATTTACTACTAAGGCTCTTTTTTAATTGTAAAATTCACTTTTTCAAAGTCTTAAAATCAAACTTTTTATCAGCTGCACAGTTACAAAAAAGAAATGTGTTAATAAAAGTTAAATCATTTATGTGTACAAATCTCTTTCTCAGGCTTATACCAGCCAGTTCATTTCCCTGGTAATGTTTGCTCTGGTGATGTGTGAAGACAGGATTTCCATACAACCCAGACGAAGTGAGATCATCCAAGGCTTGAAGGCAATCCCTGGTTTGTGTGTTCACTCTCTCATAGGATAATGTACTTAGGAGTTTTTTACTGTGAAAAATTAAATTAATGAAACTAAAAGAAAAAGGTAACAATAAGGAATGATTAACCTCCTTCTGTAGAATATCTTTTCCAAAATTAACTAAAATTACATGTACTAAATCTATTTTCATTTGTAGCTTGTAATATATAGAAAAGTTTAAATAGAGAATGTTTATAGAGGGATCTCACTTTTAAATCTGTAATCAAGGTTTTATTATACACCTCTGGACTGATTAATGATGTCCTGTTAGGAGAATTAGAAGTAATTTTGACTAATGTATGGTTGATTTCATCTGACAATATTCTATTAGGAAAAATAGAAGTAATTGATACGAATATATGGTTGATTTCTTGTGAAACTGTTTTGTTTGGAGAAGTAGAAGTAATCATGATGAATATGTGTTTGATTTCTTATTAGAAGTAGTTGTTTTTTTTTCTGGTGATGTTCTGTCAGGGGCAATGTGACTAATTCATGGTTGACTTCTTAAAGCTAAAGAAGTAAATGAAGTACATCTTTTTATGTGTAATTAATTTTAGTTAGGTTTAACTTTTAGTTTAGCAGTTTGAAATGTACTGGAAACAAGTACTGATATGCTGTGTAGTGTTTCAAAACAATGTTCTAATTTGACACCTGTAAATGAAATGTTGTATTTTTGAGTGCATAACACTGATGTTAAGCATGCTTTGTGTTGGCTAACGCAGAGTAGAATACACGAGTCTTTCTGTTTCTGTATCTGAAATGTTTTTTTTGTTTTAGACCAAATTAAAGAAGTGTTGAAACTCGATGAGAAAGTGTATGAAATTGCACGAACGATGTATCAGCAAAAGTCTCTCCTTGTGATGGGAAGAGGCTATAATACAGCTACTTGCATGGAAGGAGCTTTAGTAAGTAACTATTAGCTGTCAAACACATCTTCTCAATAAATGTAATTGAATCATGGTTAAATGAAAAGTTTTAGAGCACAGTAATGGGCTCACAGTGTGTAACATTGAGCTTTTGTATGTATGTTTCCTTTGTAAATGTAATTTGTTTACATGCTTATGCTGCTTTACCGTTAACAAAACCTTCATACACAAATTCCAGGACTAGGACTGTTTCTGTTTTAGAATTGTTTTCAAGAGAAGAAAAAATAGCATAAATAACTTTATATAATAAAATATAGTATTGTAGTATCTTTACATTTTTTTATATATATTTATTTATTCAGATCTTTAATACCATATTAAAATATAGTTATGATTAAACCACGATTAGGCTCTTCTGCCTGGTAGAAGGCCGATAAGTAATTGCTTCTTTAGGACATGCTAATATGCACAGTGGAATACACATTACTCTACTTTATTCCAGTATATGCATATACTTTCTGACATTGTGCCATATTTTGAGGTGAACATTCCATTTAATTGATAATATTCTAATAATTTTAAAAAATTTATAAAATATCTGCAAACTGTAGCTCTTGTATCATTCATCAACTTTTTGGTTTTATGCATTGTTTTTACAGTTTATGCAATGCCATCTAGTCAAATAAAAGACCCTGCTTAAGTTTGGGTCCCTAAAAGTACCATTAGCTTCTTTGCTAAACACCATTGTCAGGTTCAGTCATATATTAAATAGGTATTGCACCATCTGACTGCAAGTGTAACTCTCACGCGAGTTCTATATGTACGATCAAGTTAATTTCTCTAATGAAAGTATACCGGATTGAATGTGGAGGGTAGGAGTGAGTTAATTCCATTATAGGTTTTTTAATTGATGAGTAAGTAATCAAAATGCTGGGCATTTCATTCAGTAATTAAGAAATTTGTACATAACATTTAAGGTTTAACATACTTTCTCTCCTACTTTCAGTAATTCTTTCCTTATTTAGAAATAGAATTTAGTGTTGTGAAACATTACATTATTATGAGTATATAGTAAACTGCTTAAGTAATTTATGATGGCTCAGGTAAATCATATGTTAAATCTTACTCACAGTTTTTAGTAGTTGTGTATGTATAAAATTTGGCCATTCTTTTACCTCTGGTCTTTTTACCAGTTGCATCATGTGGTTATGTATGAAATGTGTGTATCACAACAATCCCAAATTCTTTCAAACTAGTAATTAATTAAAAATTTCAATTATTCAGATTACCAGAGTCTTTCTACTGTTAATATAAAAATGTGTATATATTATTCATCAGCTAAACCCTTATTAAATACGTGTTCTATATATGTTGCTTTACTTCACTACAGTTTCTTAAAAAAAAAAAATAGTAGTGTGATCAAGATATAAGCACAGAAGTTGGTCAGTAAGAGAAAATAATTTTATAAACGTCCTAAATTAATCTAATAAAAAATTAATAGTGATATATAGGTTATAAAATTGTTTCTTACTAGAAAATTAAGGAGCTGACTTACCTTCATTCAGAAGGAATTTTATCAGGAGAATTAAAACATGGACCTTTAGCTCTGGTTGATAAAGCCATGCCGGTCATTATGGTTGTCACAAGAGATCCTGTTTATCCAAAATGTATGAATGCTCTTCAGCAGGTAAGAAATCCTAATTACTTTCCAAAAAACTTTATAATAGAATTTTTATAATAAGTTTATTTGATTGTGATTTAATTGAATCTTATTCGTGAATACCTCCTACTGTTCAATGAGTACATTTTGTAAGGTCTTCAGTTTAGAATTAAGTAAAAAATAAAAATATGTAGCTGTTGTGTTTCAGGTATGTACTTTTACCTCTATGCAATATCTTTATCATTATCTGTAACATCTTGGGTATGCTGAATGTTAGTTTTCCATTTTATGTCCACAATTAATTATCAAAACACTTCCAATTTTATAAGTTCAAGTAACAGATCTTGGAAATTGTATTGTAAACCGATTGGATGTGAATTAAATAACTATTAAAGTGAGTTCCCTAATTGTTGTGTTATTGCACTTGAACAATATAATATTCATTTCTTAAAATTAATGTAAGAAATACACAAAAACTGAGACCACACCAAACTTTATGGTGAATACAATAAAATAGATCAAAGGTGATAGTTCTGTAATAAATAGAGCTAAAAACTGGAATTTAAAACAGCTGACATAATAATGTCAAAAGGATGATGACAATTGTTGTTGGGATTGTGCAGGTGACTGCAAGAGATGGTCGTCCAATCATCATCTGCGAGAAGGGAGATACAGAGACTCAGAAACATGCCTTCTATACACTTGAGGTACCACACACTGTCGACTGTCTTCAGGGAATCTTAACCGTCATTCCTTTGCAGCTTATGTCTTATCATATTGCTGTACTTAGAGGATGCAATGTAAGTAGTTGATGAAGAACAAGCAGAAAAAAACTTTTAAATATTCTGATGACTTGTTACACAGACTTTCAATAACATATACAAGTCATTTTTTAATGTTAGTCTAAAGTTTATTGGTATTATGGTATCAAACATTTGTTTCTTAGTTTTCTAAGTAACCTTCCAGAACTTATAGTACATAAATGTGTTTAACAAGAAGTTATCTTTCATTCTGTAAAAATATAAAGCATATTGTTTGTCATAGTTATTAACTGTTTAATAGAACTGCTGATATTAATGATTTCATAGAACTCTCTTTATGATTCAATCATGCAGGAGTGTCATATAGAACACTCAATAATGGAGAAAAAAAAAGAAACAAGTAACACCGCAAACTTTTCTACATGATCATTGAATAAGTTTTCATATGTCCAAAGTTTCCTTCACAGTTACTAAATCCTTTTAATAAGCCACACGAAATAATGCTGAAACACTTTCTTTATGGGGTTTTGTTGTGGCCTACCATAGAATTTAATGTATTAATATAACACAGAAAATTAATTAGGAAACATAACTTAATATTTTGGGACAACATGAGACCTATTGGTCCATCTCGGCTGTTCCATCCTTAAAACTAAATTAAAATGATTAATAATAATAAAATTTTAAACCCAACCCTTTTTATTCATATATACTTATCAAGCTTTTTCTTAAGCTCACTTAAATTTACTGCCTCTACAACATCTGAAGGCAACCCATTCCAAAGGTGGCCAACCACCCTTTTAGAAGAATAAAACTGTCTTAGTTGAAGATGACTCCCATCTTGCTAAAATTTGTACTTGTGTCCCATAGTCCTACTATTCTCATTGTTAAATATGAAAAAAGATGATACATCAACACTATCAATTCCCTTTACAATGTTAAACACCTGAATGAGATCCCCCTAACTCTTCTTTTTTCAAGAGAAAACAATTTGAGAGATTTCAGCCTCTTGTTGTATGACAACCCCTTCATCCTAGGCACCATTTTAGTAACTTTTCAACGTCCTTCCTAAGGTAAGGAGTCCAAGACTGAACACAATATTCTAAATGTGGCCTAACCAGTGACCTGTGCAGTGAAAGTAT